AGCACAGCACTCAGTCAGTGGCTGTCCAACAAATGAGGGAACTGAGACTCGGCTCTGACGAAATGTGCAGGAGCCAAGGGGGAGGAGGCCTCAATGGGTTCCAGTGTAGCTACCTTCCTCAGGCCCTGGGTGTTCAGCTTTAGCCCTCTCTAAACCAGGCCTGAGTTGCCTCTGGTCCATAGCATCGTTATCATTTGGGGGCTCAGACTCGGAGCTCACTGTTCAGCTTGGCTTCAAAGGGCCCATCTGGATACGGTGGTGGAGAGGGTAGATCCTCATGCCTCTATGTCCACCAGGGCCAGGGCAGTTGGGGGCTGGGCACTTAAGGCCTGTGCAGTTCTGTCTGGGTCCGAGGCAGGAGACTGCATCCCACCAGCTCGAAAAGGCTCCCAGATCCTGTCAGGGACAGGCCGCTGACGCTCAGGAAAGACAAACTACTCATGCCGGAAATGGAAACAGTGTGGATGCCCCAAGGCAGAGGCTGGGTGGTGGGCAGAGGCCAGCGGAGGCTGGTGGAGACAGTAAGGTTCTGGGCGTTTAACAGAGGGAGTGTGTGCAGAGTAGGGTGTGACTATAATGGGGGGTATGTTTATTTAGACCTGTGGGTGGGGTGAGAGGAAGGAGGGTCAGCCCAGGGAGGCAGTACACTGCGTGTGTGTGTGTGTGTGTGTGTGTGTGTGTGTGTGTGTGTATGTGTGTGTGTTCTATTGCACTGTGATATCAGTCAGGAAAAGCACACAGGGCAGGAATGTGAGACATGCAGAAACAGAGCTGTCATGGGCTCCTGCCAAAGTGTGTGTGTGTGTGTGTGTGTGTGTGTGTCTGTGTGTGTGTGACAGAGAGAGAGAAAGAGAGACAGGGTGGGGGGGTGGGAGCCAGCAGCATTTCCTAGTGGCTGGGTCCATGACGTGCTGGGAAAGACACACAATAGCCATGTTTCCAGTGACCTTCCTACCTTAATCCCTTAGCCAACCTATTGTCCCAGGTACCAAGGATGTCCCCACCTTGTTCCAGCTGACCATCACACAGAGGGAAGGAGTGCTCAATACTTTTCCATAACATTGCTGGGAAAATCAAGAAAAGCAGGAAGGGCAGGCGGGGCTTCCCCTAGAGGCCTGCAGACCAGGGAGTTGAGGGCGTGGCGCCTTCTGGGTTTGGCTGGGTCAGAACAGGCATGAACAGGGTCAAGGGATGGGGAGGCTACAAGGCTGCCCTGCCCTCCCTAGGTCTAAGGTCTCTTAAAGCTCCCCTTGTGCCATCTCCACCTCAGGCCAGCCCGACTCACCCTGCAGGGGACATCCTGGACAGGCCATTGGGAAAGCCACCTTCCCCCACGGGTGCTTGTCGTCAGAGGAACAGACAAGCAGGGAGGGTGGGAACAAGATTGTGCCTACTCAGCCCTCTGCCCACTGAGAGGATTTAGGGATCTGGGCGGAGCATGCGCGCACAGGCGCAGACAGGTTGGGTTGAATGGGATTTGCTGCTGGGGGGAAGAGAACGGAGGGAATCCTTTACAGTATATCCCACAGGGACTGGGATGCTCTTCAGTGCCCGTCTAGCATGCTCAGAGCCCTGGGTCCCGTCCTTGGCAATAAGGACCCCCCCCAAATAAAACCGTGAATATGTAATTTACGTACATATTCTAGAGACAGACAGATATAGATGTCCAAAATTATTCTTTGTCCACCCAATATTCAAATTTAGCATCCTATATTTCATTGGCAACCCAGGAAGGCCACCTCTGGGGAACAGCAGGTCATTTCCAGATGAGCTTCTCCTTCACCCCTGTTTTAAGAGCCAGGGCTCTGGACCACTTGGCCTGGACTCTGATCTCTCTGTCACTTCTAGCTTTTGGTTTTTGAGACAGATCTTCTATCTATCACTTAGTCCCTTCCAGCCTGGAACTCAACTATGGACACCAGACTAGCCTCTCAGTCTCTCCAGGGCTGAGGTTCCCGACACGGTCACCACAGCTGGCTTACTTCTGGCCTTGAACCCTCTCTGAGCCCTTTTACCTCCTGGTAAGATGAGGTGATAGGTAGAGCTCGCGGCATGAAGGTATGGAGACGTTAGTACTCATTAATTATGGTAATGAAGTATGTCCCCTTGGAACCTTGACCTTGATGGCTGGCTGGCAGCCAGGGTCCCTAATGGCTGCCTGGCGGGGCTTTACCCTGCCTGCCACCTTCTGTCTGTCACTGAGGAAGACACAAACCCCAGGAATGGCCTAGAGATAAGCAGGATGAAGTCTGAGGCAAGCTCAGTGGTAAGCTGAGGTAAGCTCTGAGGTAAGCAAGCTGAAGGGCTTGGCCTGGCCCAGCCCTGCGCTGCAGATAGCTCCCACTCAGTCCCTCTCCTCCTCTGCCTTGGCCTGGTTCCCCATACCGTGGCTTCACAGGCCTTTTCCTCCCTTGGGCCCATCTGAGATACTCCCTGCTCCAGTTCCTTGACCTGAAATAAGATCTGTTTTCTCTTAGCCCGAGCAGGGTGATGAGGGTCATCTTGGGAGGGGCGGCATCTCTGGTGGGGACGGAGCAGCTATGTAGGTGACAGGCCTAGGCTTTAGCCATTTTGGGGCTACAGGGCCGGGCTCCTGGCCCACTGAGTTTGCTTCTGCCTTATCCCTGGGCTCAGCATTACCTGAGGAAGTGGCATTCCTTTATACACGCTGGCATTCCTCTCTCTGTGGCCACTCAGCAGCCACTCAGCAGTGACAGAGAACCAGGCGGTGGTAGAAAGGGCACAGATGACATTCTGATACATACATACATAGTTCCAGGATGAGCTACCCAGAGCGCCCGTGCAGACCGACTCAGGTGACACGTGCTCAGCCGCAATTATGTGTCTACAAGTCTCTTCCTCCTACAGTGTACTATGTGCCCCTAGGGTACACCTCGGCTGTCCTTCTTTTGTGGCCTCACCCCCTGGCCAGGTAGTCTGGCCCCTGATGGGGCTCAGCAAATGAGCATAGGAACAGAGAGCGGCTGGTGTGTGTGAGAGCCTCGTCTCCTCCAGCAACATCCACAAGTGCCAGGGGCCAATGGCCCGGGCTGCTTCCCCTGAGAGCCCTGTCCTGCCTCCGAGGCAGGTCACCTCACACGGCCTAACCCTCCCCACAGACCATGAAGCCATAGACTAGCACCACCTCTAGCCAGAGACTCCTGACTTCACATTGGACAGTCATCCCGGCCTCCTCTTGATGGCTCTGGGCCCTCTTCCCCTGTGCCTCTCCCATCTGAGCCCCAATACCTCTTCGGAGCAATTCCTCTGCCTCCCCACAACCAGCCCTCCTTTCACCCCAGTTTTGAACAACGTCCTGTCCATTCACCCCTCTAACTCAGTTGTGTTTCCTGCCAGTGGCCCTTCTGGGACCCCTACCACCATTCAAATAAAGCTCATAACTACAGAGAGGGTCCATAAAGGGCCCGTCTGCCTCTCTCGGTAGCCACAAGAGCTTCCTTTCTGCTCTGGGGTTCAGCGGGGTCCTGTCTTGTCTCCCCAGCATGACAATATGCTCCTCCCTATGTCTTTTTCTCAAGGCCCGTCTTCTGACCGGCCCCACTCCCCTAGCTTTGTTGTTCAGCTCCCGGGGGTGGGGACAGGATGGTGTCTACCTTGTTTGTTGTTGGGTCCTTAAATATTGACGCTTAATGACTGAATGGAGGGCAATGATACGCCTCAGGCACAGCGCTCAGAGCAGCATCCAAAACATTCAGGTGGAATGAGGAAGGCAAGCCAAGGCTGGCATCTGGGACCCCAGAATTCTGTCTCTGGGTTGGCAGTTCCAACAAACGGCTTCAGTTTTCAGCACTTTGCAGCTCACAAAATGCATTCACTTACGCCCCTGGTTCAAGCCCAGCGAGTCTCATTTTGCCCAGAGTCTGAGAGTGTCAATTGTGATGGCACACAGTCCAAGAGGCCTAGACAAAAATTCCTTGATGTCTGAGTCAGTTTCCTCCTCTGTGTATTGGGGATTAAGCTACCTACCTCAGGAAGGTGAACACGGCACCTTCCTGAGGTGCCACCTGAAACCACCTCAGAACTGGGCTGACTCTAGGGCTCCTTGAGGACTACCTCACACCATTCCCCCAGTCATGCCAGGGCTTTGTTGTTGCTGCTGGCAGAGAGAACCTGAGGGTTACAGGGCTGGCTTGGGAGTCTAGAATCTTCCAGAGACTCTCTGTGAACAACTCCTCAGGGTCAGGAACAGCAGGTGCTATGAGATGCCCACAGACCTCAAGCAGCACTAGGGAGGGGAGGGGGTAAACTCACCCCAAGTTTTCTTTTTGTTGTTGCTTGGTTTTGTTTTTGAGACTGGGTTTCTCTGTGTAGCCTTGGCTGTCCTGGACTCGCTTTGTAGACCAGGCTGGCCTCGAACTCACAGCAATCCGCCTGCCTCTGCCTCCCTGAGAGCTGGGATTACAGGCCTGCACCGCCACACCCGGCTTCAAGGTTTTTGATGAATGCTTTTTTTCTTTTTTCTTTTTCTTTTCTTTTCTTTCTTTTTTTTTTTTTAAGACAGGGGTCTCACATCTCCCAACCTGAGATATTACTGTGTAGCAGAGAATGACCTTGAACTTCTTTTGACCCATCTACCCTCACCTCTCTAGTGTCAGGGGATTACCAACAGTTGGTGATACTGGCGACCTAATCCTGCGCCAGGCAAGCGCTCTACCAACTGAGCTACACTCCCACCCTGACTCCAAGCCTCATCTCTCTCACTCCCTTCTCCCCGTGCTCCCGAGACCCTGGCCCCAACTCTCCAGCACAGCTCCGAGGGCGCCTCCTGGTGAGAACGAAAGGGCATCTAGGCCTTCTGACAAAGCCTGGAGACCCCGGTGGAGACCCCAACTGGGACAGTGCTGGCGGTGCTTCTGCTCAGATCCACCCCAATTCCACGCCCCCTGGGAAGCCACTTGGCCCGTACACCCCGCTCCTTCCAGGCTGTCCCTAGAGACAGGTGTCGCGCCCACCCGGACCCATTCCAGCGCATCACTGACCCATCTTCTTCAGCGCCCGCAGCCCAGGCCTCTTGGTGCCGCCGTCCGGTGACGCCGGCGGAGGCGAGAACGCGAGGGGCGCTGTGACCTGGGCGGACACCCGGGGCTCCTCCGGCGAGCGGCGCCTCCTTCTCCAGCTACCGCACAGCATGGTCGCGAAGGGCCCGGGGTCAGGGCCCGGGATCTACGCGCCAGAACCCGGCAACGGGCGCACAGCTCGTCCACAGCCCCGTGCGCGGTCCCGAGCGAAGAAACTTAGCGGCGCCCTGGGAGTCGGGAGGAGGAGACCTCGGGAGGAGGGAGAGAGGGAGGGGAGAGGTGGAGGTGGGCGGAGCGAGGCTGGACAGGGGCGGGGCGAGGCGCCGGCGGGACCCCAGGTCCGGAGCTGTACGTCCTGATGTCTGTGCGTTCGCCCCCGCTAGTGAGTCGGTCTTTCCGTTTCCCCAGAGGTCCCCGCATCTCCTCTCCACCAGTGGTCAGAGTCCCTGTTTGAGGGGACTGAATACCCCGGAGGGACAGGACTGTCCTCCGGCCCAGACACACTTTTTTCTGGGGACTCTGACTCAGGAACCTACTCCATCCACCTTTGCCGGGTCCCCTCGGGAACTAGGCAGGGGACAGATCCACAGGGGCGCGCCCCGGGCTGAAGGGTCCTGTGGCGGGGAAAGCCCATTGACTCCTAGAGCAGAGCTGCGCAGGAATGGGGGCGGGGGCAGGTCAGGCAGTGACGTCAAGGACTGAGCTCCAGGCCAAGAGCCACCCCTCCAAAGGGGGGCGTCTCCAAGCTTTCGAGCTGAAGGCTGAGGCGCGACGTAGAGTCCCAGAAGCTAGGTCTGGGGTTCAAAGCTACACTTCACCCTTGGCCAAAAGATCTGCACCGAACTCTGTCAAGGTGCTGATGACGTCAGCCCATTAAAAAAAAAAAAAAAACAACTCTGTACGGGTGCCGGTGTAGTCTGGAGAATGCCAAGGGTTGGGTGTCCGTGCGGCTCTCTCAAGCACAAGCTTTCGGGTAGGGGCCGCGAGCTGGTGGCACACCTTCCTTGGCGGCGGCCGACAGCCAGGCTTCCCACGCTAAGAGTTGCGGTTGGTTGGTTGGTTTGTTTGTTTGTTTGTTTTTTCCGGGTCCTAGAATCGCTCCTTTCTTGCCCCGCTGAATTCTGTCCCCATCTATTCCAGCCCCGGGTCCCCATCACCTCTGCGGTCTTGAATTTCCTTACTGCCGTTTGCCGGACCTTCGCCTCTGCTTGTGATCCCCTCGGTTCCTTCCAGGAACGTTCTCTTTCGTTACTTTTCTGGTTCACTCCTACTCTTTCCGAAACTCCGCTCCAGGCTGCCTTCTGCGGGACGCCGGGTCCCGGGACTCCCCTCTGCTGCCAGGGTCGAGGTGCTCCTGGGAGGCGGGGCCGGCATTAGCCTAGCAACACCCCGAGTTTCCACCAGGGGGCGCGAGGACCCCGCGACCGAACGTGCGTCCACCGGGAGGCGCTGCAGCCCGCCTCTGGCTGCCGCGGGGTGCGGAGCGCGACCCATCAGCGAGCCCCGCCTGACTGGGAGAGGCAGGGTGAGACTATTTGCATAATCTTGAAAGAGTCTTTCTGACTGGTTCGGCCATAAAAGCCCCGAATGTGAAACGGTGCCTCTCATTGGCTTAGTTTTCTCCTCCTTTTTGCGTCCCTCCCTTTCCCTGCCCCTCTGGACCCAGAGGTCAATCGGAAACCACTGGTTAGTGCTGAGAAGAGGACCCCGGTGTCCCGGCAGTGGGGACCCAGGGGTGAGTGAAGGGCCGGGGCGCGGAGAGCCGGGCTGGGAGGCTGTTCCTCCCACTCTGACTCCTCCTCGCTCGCTGATTCGCCCGTTCAGGAAATGGAAATTGGGCATCTAGAGAGCTGCATCTGGGGACGTCTTTGGCTCTGAGACCCTTGCCACCTGCCTCTCCTCCCACTCATGGCCCAGCTGGTGGTCCCTCGCCACCCTGGCCCCATTGACGCTGCCTTGAGGTAGGAGAACGAGCCTCGTCAGCTCAACCTCTGACCTCCTGGGGTAGCGCTCAGGTCTTGGGACTTAGTTGGCCCCTCTGGAGACTGGACCAGTGGCTTAGAGTGCCACCGTGGACCGTGAGGCCTGGTCACACTCATGACGCTCGCTCTTGCAGAGACGCTCCAAAGTAGAGGCTCAGAGCTTGGAGCAACCATGGGCACCGAGAAAGAAGAGCCCGACTGTCAGAAACAGTTCCAGGCAGCAGTGAGCGTCATTCAGAACCTGCCTAAGAATGGTGAGGCTGGAGGGATCGGCATTTTGGGGTTCAGGATGGTTGGGCTCCGACACCAAGAAAGAACTGGGCCCGAACCCGGCAATGTTTACAGACAAGTGCCTCCCTTGTGCTGTGGTGGGGTCCCCTCTGCTTCCTGTCCCAGGTGCTCTGGCCGCCTTTGGGAGGCCAAGGTGCAGCCTCCATCCTTTTGGAACTGGGGCTGATGAGGTACTTCCCAACCCTCTGCTCAGGCTCTTACCGCCCCTCCTATGAAGAGATGCTGCGATTCTACAGCTACTACAAGCAGGCTACCATGGGGCCCTGCCTGGTCCCCCGGCCTGGGTTCTGGGACCCCATTGGACGTTACAAGTGGTGAGCTCCCCTCCTGCAGGGTAAAAAAAAAAAATGCCTCCGTTGTCACCCAGACTTTTCACAGCCCTCTGCCTCCTAGGGATGCCTGGAACAGCCTGGGCAAGATGAGCAGAGAGGAAGCCATGTCCGCCTACATCTCAGAGATGAAGCTGGTGGCACAGAAGGTAGCGAGGGCTGTGGAGCTCCGTCCCTAACGGGGGGGGGGGGGGGGGCGGCCCCCCCCCCCCCGGGGGGGGGGGCTTCCGGGTTTCCCCTCCCTTGATATCCCTTTGGAAATCACTCCCTTCCCGTTGCCCCTCCCCCCCCCCCCATTCTCTCGGATCCCGACTGATGGGAGGTGGAGGAGTATGAAAAGACAGTAGTAAGGAGAGAGGCTGGAGAGGGGGGATTGTGGGTGCTGGTGGGAGGGTCCAGCCTGCCCCATGAGAACTCTTCCTGCACAGGTGATTGACACAGTGCCCCTGGGCGAGGTGGCGGAGAATATGTTTGGTTATTTCGAGCCCCTGTACCAAGTGATCCCCGACATGCCGAGGCCCCCAGAAACCTTCCTGAGAAGGGTCACAGGTCAGATCTTCGGGGTGGGAGCCCTGAAATACAGAGTGAACTGTCCCAGCTGTAGGCTGGTGGGTGGTTGCTGTTCAGCCGTGGGATACCAGGTGTGGTTTCTGTAAGGACCTCAAATCAGTGCCCCTGTCGGGCTAGTTATCAGCCAGTGTGCATGACTAATGGGGACAAGGGACTCGATCACACTAGAAGACGCCAGCCCTTCCCTGCCCCACCTTTGAGTGCTGTGTCTTGACAGGTTGGAAAGAGCCAGCACCGCAGAGAGCCGATCAGGCTGCTCCAGAGCCTTCTAGCCAACTCAGGGAGCCACTACCTCCAAGTCCAGGTTTGTTGGTGAGCAGGAGAGATACAGGGCCACACGTAGACTGGGAAGGAACACCGCCGGGGGAAGAGGAGAAAGAAGCGGGATGCCACGCTGCCCTCTGCATGCCCAGGGACACTGAGACTTCCTGTGCTCTCAGAGGCCAAGGGGACGCTCTGAGACTCTGTTAGCAGCGTCTCATTTCTCGGGCCCTTCGCACCTGCAGTGGCAGGAACTCTCGGCCTCCCGAAGAAGGGCTTGGTACTCAGCGGTCCACTCTCCCTTCCCTCCAGAGCAGGGACCCCAACCCCGGTGCAGCTGCCCTCCCCAAGAGCCAGTCCTTTCCCTTCTTCCAGAGTCCCAGCCACCCAGAGACTTGGACCTGGATGTTTTCTGTGACTCCGTGGAGCACCTAGAGCCAGAGCTGGTGAGATCGCCCCTCTTGTCCCCTGTTCCCGTGTCCGAGCTGCCCCACCTCCATCTTGGGACCTGGGGCTCATCTGAGCAGGTTTGGGCAGAGCAGAAGGAAGCAGCTGGCAGAGAGCTGGACACCAGAAGCAGCCCCGAGTCCCCCGGTGAGAAAGGTGAGCTTTCTACCCTGCCCATGGTCTTGGTCTCCTAAGCCTCTCCTGTGCTGCCCTCTTAGGGCAAAGGTGAAAGTCCAGTGGGGTGGCAGGAGAGCAGCCTGGGAGACAGACAGACACCTGCCTTTGCGAGCAAAATCCTTGTCTGGCTCTCCGCTGGCCTCTGTCCCTCAGCGGGGGCAACTTGGAGACACAGGTGCACACTGGGAAGCTGGTCCACTCTCTGTGCCTCCCATTTGGAATTCTCAAAGGGAGACAGTGAGTTCTGTCTGACATATCTTTGTCTACAACTCCCGTATGCTAAATCTCTGAAGGGGTGCTTTCCTAAATAGTCCCTTATTTCCTGAAGAGACAGGATGGAAGTCAACATCCTCGCCTAATTTTCAGGAGCCAAAACAAGGCTCAGAGAGGTGAATGAGCTGCCTAGAGCCACACAGCTACTGATGGCGGTGCTAGGATTCAACCCCATCTCAGTAGCCCATGACTCAGTCCTATGAGGGGACCTTGCAAAGGGCCTTTGTACCCTTCTCTGGACCTGCCTCAGCTTGTGCAAATTGTCTCCTGAGTCACCTTCCCCGTGTCTCCATGCTCCACAGAGGGGTTGGGCGGCAGCCTGGTGGAGCCCCAGGAATTGGACAGATGGCTGGTGGGGACAGTCCAGGCCATGCAGGAAAGCATGAGGGATGTTCAGAGGAGGCTGCAGAGCCTGGAGAGCAAGCCCCAGCTACCTGAGCAGGTGAGTCCCTCCTTTACCTCAAGATTGGACAAGATTGCCTCAGCCCTCTGCTCTGGGCTCCTCTTTGAGCTGGCTTGGGTTTTTGGCCCTATGACTCCACCTGACCTGTCTACTGCTTTGTGCAGAGAACGGTGAGGCCTTTATCTATCTATCTATCTATCTATCTATCTATCTATCTATCTATCTGTCTGTCTATTCAAGACAGGGTTTCTCTGTGTGGCCTTGGTTGTTCTGGATCTCCCTTTGTAGACCAGGCTGGCCTGGAACTCACAGAAATCCATCTGCCTCTAGTCAGGAGTGTTTATATCCTAGCGGGAGTGCTACAGGAGCACACTGGGAAAGGAGGACCGTTCCCTGATGACCCAGCAAGCAGGGAGTCACGTCTAAGAGTTGGAAGTGTCTGCTTTTTGCGCTGTGGGTGGGGGTCACTGTGGACCCTCAGCCGGCACCACAATTCCTACCCAAACTGTAGGGTTTGCTCCTGCAACAGTCCAACTTCGCACCTCTCATCTCCCGGCACCCCATCTCATGCAGAACACTTCACAGCACCCCACACCCCTTGTTTGGTTTTATTTGTCCGGTTTGAGACAGAAACTTAAGTCTGTAAGGTAGGCCGGTCGGGTCGGGAACTAGGCGGACTCCGCTGGTCTTCCAGTGAGCTGCCTGTCTCTCTGTTACACATAGGAATCCCAGTGCTGGGATTACAGGCAGGAGCCGCTCTGCCTGGCCGCCTAAGTGTTTTCTAATCCAGACCAGTTCTTTGCCTCGCTACTGATTTATTGGTTTTTGTCTCACCGTCCCCCCCACACCCCCAAATCCTCACTCACCATGTGGCCTAAAGGCTTGACTTTTGTCGATTTGTTTGTGCCCTGGTGTTGCTGTGTAGCCCGAAGGCTTAAAATTTCCCAGTCTCCTGGCCTCAGCCTCCTGAGTGTGGAGACTACGGAGGTCACCGCCACATCTGCCTTTATTTCCCTTTTACAGAACAGGAAACTGAGGTCTGGGAATTTAGCTTCCCCGGGTGGGGGGGGGGGTAGCCACGGCATGGGAGACGTCACTGAACTGCTTCAGCAGGACCCAGCAGTCTCCTCCAATGGGCTGTCGCTCTGAGGGCTCATTTCAGGGAGGTACTCACCCTAGCGAGAAGCCTGGGGTTATCACAGGAGTGGGCCTAGTTGCTGTGGTTTGGGGACCTCTGGTGTGACCCCTAAGCCCCTGAGTATGGTGGATCTGAGCCCTGGTGACCAGGATATCAACACTGCCTCTCCTCCCCACCCAAAGTATCCACCCCCCCCCTCCGCCCATCCCCGGTTTACCTTTTACCTACTTGAAGTGCTAAGTTATTTCTCCCGCCCCACCCCCAGTGCTCCGGATTCCAGAGCGAGGACTAGCACTGAGCCTGTTTTTCTAATTAAGACGTCTTTCTTACAAAATTGCCCATTTGAAATTGTAATGTGTTTTATAGATTATAAAATGGCTGGACTTGGGCTGGGAGTGTGAATCTCAGCAATAGGGCATTTCCCTAGAGGCACAGGGCTCTGTCACCACCAAAAGGGGGGTGAGGGAGTTTAAACCTAGCATTTGCTAAGTAACTTGAAATCACAGGCTTGTGATATCGGGCCTGGTTAAAATCTGGCGAGGTGGCGTATGTGTGTGTGTGTGTGTGTGTGTGTGTGTGTGTGTGTGTGTGTGCGCGTGCGCCATGGAGCACGTGTGAAAGACAGTTGTATCTCTGCCACGTGAGTCCTGGAGATTAAACTTGGGTCATCAGGCTTGGCCTCAGCACCCATTCTCGCTTTCGTCCCATCTCACAGATCCTAAGCATTTTTCGGCAGATTGTCCTGGCATACCGTAATCCCCTGGAGACAGAGGCGGGAGGATCCATGCGATTTGAAGCTAGCCTAAGCTACACACTGAGTCCCAGGCCAGCCGAAAAATAAGAAATAAATTAAATTAAACTGTAAAGCATCATAATGCTTATGCTTAGGTTCCACTCTGAGCACATTTTGCCACTTTATTTTATTTCATGTGCATTGGTGTTCTGCCTGCACGTATGTCTGTGTGAAGCTGTCGGATCTGGAACTAGAGTTACAGGTGGTTGTGAGCTGCCATGTGGGTGCTGGGAATGGAACCCAGGTCCTCTGGAGGAGCAGCCAGTGTTCTCAAGCACTGAGCCATCTCTCCAGCCCCCCCCCCAATACATTTTATTACAGTTAATTCTTTAATATCATCAGATATCCAATCCAAGTTCGGGTTTTCCTAGTTGTCCGGAGACTGCCTTTTCCAGCTGCTGTCACGCAGGCCCGGGTCACACTGTCCCTAGTTCCTCATCATTGTTGGCTGTGCAGGTGTCAAACCCAGGGCATTCATTCAGCTCCGCATCTCACTACACCTTCAGCCTAGACTAGTTCTGGCATGTGGAAGGTTACCACCTTTTGGGGTCTGATCATATCTGATTTTGTATATTGTGTTTCCTGTGAAATGAGTGTGAGATGCAAAGATTGGCTTGGTGTCCAGGGAAGCATTCTGGTCGAGGCTCCATGAGAGGCCAGCTATGGTAGCTTACGCCTGTGTTTGGCTTTAGTGTTTTTGTTTTTATGTGTGTGGGTGTTTTGCCTGCATATGTGTGTGTGTGTCTCGTGTCCTCAGAAGTCAGAACAGGAATTGGATCCCTAGGAAGTGGAATCAAGGACAGTTGTGAGCTGCCATGTGAGTTCCGGGTCCTCTGCAAGAGCAGCAAGTGCTCTTAACTGAGTCATCTGTCTAGCCCTTGGATTTTTTTGGTTGGTTGGTTTGTTTGTTAGTTTTTGTCTGAGACAGGGTCTCACCGGGTAGCCCTGGCTGGTCTTGAACTCACTATGTAGACCAGGCTGGTCTTCAGCTCATGCTGGCGTGCCTGCTTCTACCTCCTTTCCTTTGCCACCCAGTATAGTTTATACTTGTAATCCCAGCACTTGGGAGGCTGAGACAGGAGGGTTATTGTGAGTTCCTAGGCCAGCCTGAGCTACAAAGACCCTGTCTCGGAAAAATGAAGACGGAAATCTGGAGGCTGGAAAGACGGATCACCTGTTAGGAGTGCTTCCTGTTCATTCAGAGGCCCCAGCTTTACTTCCTTGCCCGTGTCAGCCCAGAAATGCCTGGAACTTGAGCTTCAGGGAATCAGACCTTGATTGGCACCCCACAGACATCACAGGCATGTGCACCCACGTCACATACACACACGTGCACACACGCACGCACACACACACACACACACACACACACACACTCATCAAACGGTATCAGAGTATTCCTCACATCAAGGGACGGGTGATTTCTGGCCCTCCACCACTAGTGAGTCTAGCGTGTACTGCTGGCCAGCGTAGGAGGGTGGCAGTTTGGCCCCAACTCTGTCAGGTTTTCCTCTTGAGGCCAGGGAGTGTCCAGCTCATCAACTATACCGTACTGGGTTTGGCAGCAACTGATCATCTTTGCCTGGACAGTCATTTATTCAATGATTGCAACATCTGTTGATTTTCAAGTCTCTTATTCCTCTAACAGGTTAGCATTTTGTTTTCTGTAGGGTTTTCCTTGAAACAAAGTTGCCCACAGAAAAAGCAGGGTTTCTTCCCTTTTTTTTTTTTTGGAGGGTGGGGGTTCCAGACAGGATTTCTCTGTGTAGCCTTGGCTGTCCTGGACTTTGTAGACCAGGCTGGCCTCGAACTCACAGAGATCCGCCTGCCCATGCCTCCCTGAGTGCTGGGATTGCAGGCGTGCAGCAATGCGCCATTGTGCTGGTCTTCTTCTCCTCCTCCTCCTCTTCTTCCTCTTCCTTTTCTTCCTCTGCCTCCTCTTTTTGAAACAGAGTTCTCGCCGTGTGGCCCTGGCTGTCCTGACACTCACTCTGTAGACCAGACTGGCCTTGAACTCAGAGATCAACCTGCCTCTGCCTCTCATGTGCTTCGATGAAGGGCATGTGCCATCACACCAGGCTTCTGTCTCTCTTTTGAGACAAGGTCCTGATGTATGTGCCAGACTAGCCTAGGAATTTACCTGCAATCCTCTTGCCTCAGTCTCCTGAGCGCTGGGATCACAGGCAAGGCCACCATGCCCGACTTCTATCTTTTCCAGTGCTGGGATGGAACGCCAGGCTTCGTATATGCTAAGGAAATGCTCCCCCACTGAGCTGCATCCCTAGCCCGTATTTATTTATTTGTTTAAGATTTATTTATTCTTGGCCTACAAACGGAGTCCCGGACAGCCAAGGCTGCACAAAGAAACCCTGACCCAAAAAGCCAAAAAAAAAAAAAGAGAAAAAAAATGTTTATTTCATGTTTATGTCTATTTGACTGCATGTATGTATGTATGTATGTACACCACGTGGGAGCCCACTGAGTTCAGAAGAGTGTCAGAGCCTCTGGAATGGAGTTATGCATGGCTGTGAGTCATCTGATGCGGTGCTGGGAATCACACTTAGCCAAGTGATTTTTAAAGAAAGCCTCCTCAGTGGTATAATTTCTATAAACATCATCCCCCCCCCCCCCCCCGTGGTCCTGGGGATTGAAGCCAGCACCTCACCTGCTAGGCAAGTGCCCTGTCACAGAGCCACATACACTCAGCCTTTCTATTTTTTTTTTAAATGTTCAGTTTATGTGCGTGGGTGTTCTGCTTGCACTGACATCTGTGCGCTGTCTGGGCGGCGCTGGCTTTGAGGTTCTTGGACCCTCCGATGGAAGTTACGGACTCCACTGTGTGCTGCCGTGTGCATGCGAAGTCAGAGCACAGCTCCGGAGTTGGGGCTGGGGGTTCAATGGGCTCTTTTGCCGCTGAACTAGCTTACCAGCTCCTCTCTCTATATGTATTTTTTCTTTTGTTAAGCTCGATTGTCACAACTTTGGAGCTCTTCTTACAGTGCCTCGCCTTCCCTGCCCCAACCTTGGAATCAGTTGCGCCTCCGAAGAGTCAGGCTCTCTCTAGAATAGATATTTAGAAACGAACATCTGAGCACTCCGGTCCTTGTCTAAAATATGTGATGTGCTTTGCAACAGAGGGTCTTCAGTCCTTAACCACGGCTTCCTCTGCAGCCTGGAGGAGCCGGCTTGGAACCTAGGCTATTCCTACAGCCTCTCCTATCGCGTGGGATTGGACTGTGTGTGAGGGAGAGAACCAGGGGTTCGCTTCAGCATTGTGGGGCATGTGTGGGGGACCCTCCCGGTCTTAGGGAGGCCAGGCCGGATGAGTCCAGAAACAGGCTACTAGGTCGTACTGCCCCTGGGCTGGCTTCTGATTCCTTCCCTCTTGGCAGCAGAGGCCGCCAAGGACTCGGCCTCGGCCCCTACGGCTCTCGGCTCCCACGGTGCTCTTCTTTATCCTGTGGCCCTTCGTTGTCCAGTGGCTCTTCCGACAATTTCGGATCCAGAAGAGGTGACTCAAGGACGGGGTCTCTCTAGCAACTGAGAAGGCTATGAGGGGTCCCCGCATGTCCTGCTGTGTCCTGAGCCTCCTTAGGTTTAGGAAAACAGAAACCCTCCTTCCCATCCTCGGTCACCCTCTTTTAGTAGGGGTCCCCTAAGACCCCAGCCTTCCCTGCAGCTCGCACCTATGTTCCCCAGCCTGCGGCGGTCGGCTGTTGTCACGGTGCACGTCCTAGCTTTGGGGTTGGTGGGGAGCACCCTCCGGCCCCACCCTCCGGGTCACCTGACTTTGCTCCCGCTGAGTCGGCTCCCTGCGGAGGCTCAGCTCTTGGGCAAGTTGGGACTTGGACCTGGCCTGAAGACTGATTGGCTGGAAGGTTGCAAGAAAGGCCAGAGCCCGCGGGAGTGGGGAGGGACGGGAGGAGTGTGCAGGCTGGGGGCTGGGATGCCCCGGACACGCACAAGTACACATCCCGCTCGGGCCTTCACTGAAGACTCACGTGCAATTGAACGCTTCATTAAACAAAAGAAAACCTCGAGTCTGCCGTCTGGGCGCCCGTGGAAAGGGTGGGAAGCGGGCGGGCTGCGCGAGACACGAGTCCAGCCCCACTCCCACCACAAGCGCCCGCGGAAAGCTAAGGCTTCCTTATAAGGAGTATCTTCCTTCCTCCCTAAGGAGACCAGGAGAAAACAGGCCTCACGCCGGGGTCAGGGAGGACCCCCGGGGCGGGAGTTTGGAGGGAATGTCCTATGGCCTGGAGTTATTGCAAGGATCTGGCTGTGGGTCGGCCCCGCCCCCAGAGGGAGGGCTGCTGCTCTAGCTCTGCACACTGCCCTGTGGATTGGGGTACCCAGTGCTGGGCCCCGAACGCCGCTGCCTCTTCCCAGGCCCTTAAGTCTTGGTTGTTACACCTTATCTCCACCTCTTCCCAGAGAACTTTCTAGAAAGCCAGGGCCCGCCCCTCCTCGGAGGGGTGCGGCCAGGGTTCTATGTTGCCTGTCTAGGTGGCCTTGGCCTCCCGTGGGATATTGTGTCGACCCCACTGGGCCTGTCCGGCTCCAGCCACTAACCTGCACACAGCTTTAAACTGACCACTCCAGCACCTCCTGGTACCCAGAGCCAACGAACCGAGGGCAAGCTACTGGCAGCTCCTGCCACCCGGGCCCCAGGATCTCCCTTTTCTTGGGGACGGTGCTGGTGATCTTCAGTCTCCTTCCTCCGAATTCCCTAACACCCTGTGGGTCTGACCACTTCCCCAGGCTTGTGCCTCTCTGGAAAATACAGTCGTTCTTCCGGGCTTTAACAGCAGGGTGAGGGTGGCCCTAAAGACGGGCGACACTCACAGCACAGTACTGCTGCTTTACAAGGTCACAAAGCAAATAGGCTGCAGAAAAGCCCGTGACACCGGCGGCGACAGCTGGGCAGTGGGAGCCAGGACGCAGGGAAAAAGGAAAGTCGGCTTCACAACTCAAATGCTGGCTCTGCAAACGTGGGCTAAGAGATTAGCTGTTCTGAGTCTGGGTTGACTCGTTTGTGAAGCAGGAATGATCTCTGCCAGCGGTAGAGCGGTTCACCAGCGACTGGAGGGTGGAAAGTGCTTGGCAGAGGGCTAGGATCCAGAATACAGACGTTCTGGAATTCTGCAGCCCGGTGATCATGTTATCTCGTTATCGATGAGACCCCACCGAGAGGCCCGGTCTAGGAAAATTCGTCTAGGTTCCACAGTAACTTCCATATTCCTGACTGTGAGAGTCCAAGTCCTCTAAGAGCCTTAAATGTGGGAGTTTTGACTCTCCCAGTCAGGTTGTCTGCCAAGTCCCCTTTTTCACTTAAAAAAAAATTAATATACACTTTATGTGAGTTTTCATTTGCCTGTATGTCTCTGCACCACACAGGCCTGGTGCCGGTGGAGGTCAGAAGAGAACATGGGATCCCTGGAACTGGACTTACGGTTGGGAGCTGTGTCTGGCCCTCTGCAAGAACAAGTGCTCTTAACTACTGAGGCGCCTCCTCCAGTACCTGTGCCCCTTCTCCCTCTTTGTTCCTGGTTTCCTGGCGCGGCCTAAGCAACGGATGAAGAAAAGCAGGCTTTTCAGGCAGACCAGGGTTTCTGAGAGCGCGTGGAAAACAAGCTGGAATGGTCATCTTCAAAACATCTCAATGCGCCCCCCCCTCCCCCCCAGGGGCATTCCTGTTTGCTTTCCCTCCGAGGCAGTCTGTCACTAAAGTGCAGCCCCACCCAGCACTCTGAGGTGCTTAAACCCTTTTACTTATAAAACACCTTTAACTGGGGAGGTGACATGTACCTATAGTTGCAATTACCGTGGCGATTAAGGCAAAATCTGCATTTCAGGCAAGACTGCAGTATATAATGAGGCCTTGCCTTAAAAACAAAACAAAACGTCCTTCCTTCCATTTCCCAGTCAACGGCTCCACAGCATCTGTCCACAAATTCCCAAGCTCCCAGCAGTTTGGGTCACAAGTTGCTACTTAAGTTGCTACTTGGATTTTCTTGCTATTTTGGCTCCCTGTGGCTAGTCTTCATAGTGAAGTCCAGGCAACTTGAAACTCAAGAACTATTTTTCCCCCTAACAAATGACTGTCAAACGCATAACAGTCTGCAGAGGTCTGAAGCTTCAAGTTACTAGAAATTCTCAATCCAGAGTTCTTGAGGGGATGGGGAAAAAAGGATTTTGTGCTTTGCTTTTAAATTGTTTTTATTATTTCACATATCTGAGTTTGTTTTCTTTCCTGCACGCGTATATGTGCAAACCACATATGTGCCTGGTGCCAATGAAGGGCATCAGATACCTTGGATCTGGAGTTTATAAACAATTGTGAGTCACAGCTTGGGTGCTGGGGAGCCAAACTCAGACCCTCTGAAAGAGCAGCCAGTGCTCTTAACTGCTGAGCCAGCTGTTCAGGCCTTGGATTTTGTGTTTGTGACAGAAAGAATGGGTATTGGATGTCAGGAAGACCTGAGCTCAAGTCAGACCTGCCACTTAGTCGTCAGGTGACCTTGGATAAGTCACTTTATTTCTCCAAGTCCTAGAGCTTTCTTATCTAAAATGGAGGCTAAATCCTGCCCTACCTCACATGGCTGTGGTGGTCAAACATTTCCGTGTGTAGAGGAATCTCAGTGAATCATGGTTGGAATGTAAGGAGAAATAAGAATGGGTCACTAGTTACCCAGGCAAGGGAGAAGAGGCAACTATGCAGAGGGGATTAAAGAGAGTTCTCCGGGCCCTTCGAGTGCGGAGTCAGTCTGAACTCTTTTTTTTTTTTTTTTTTTTAAGGGGAAATAGGACCCCTACTTCATCCCCAAGCAACCCCACGACCTTGGACCAAACACACCCATTTCAAGGAAGGCCTCCAGCCCTCCTTCTCGAAGCCTCTTCCCCCAGGTCTGCTCTCTGGGGACGACACCCCCCTTCTGTTGGAAATGCATTGATTTTTGGACCCCTCCCCAACAGAAACGCACGTCAGCTGGCCTGAGCCCCGCTGTCCCGGCTGGGGAAAGGTTCGCGAACTCGGAAGCGAACAGACCAAGTCGGCCACGGGAGGCCATTTTCTTCGGCCGAAGCCGGGGTTCGGGGCGAGTCCTTCGCCCCCACCGGGCGCTTTCCATGGGGCTCGGGTGAAATGCTCGGCCGCGATGACCACTTTGCCTTCACCTCGGGAAGGCGATGGCTCTTGGCCAGGGTGGCTGCTCTCACCCAGGTGTCCCGAGCGTAGTCGGGGGGCCGACGTCATTCAGGACTCGAACCCGCCCTCTCGTCTCCCGAGGCCTTGTCTGAGGCCGACGCTCGGCAGGCCATCAACACTGGCCCTTTAAGGCGGCACTTCTTAATTCTTCATTTGTTTACTTCTTCATGCGCTTTTCGTCTTTTTTTTTCCTTAATAAATACTTGTCCACAATATCCTTCCGCTTCTCTCTCACCCAGAGACTCGTCACCGGCCTTAGAGACATTACTGTGATTTTAAGAATCCGGCATCAGTAATCAAGGCTAACATCTCTCTTTATAGGATTTAATCCTCTTTTACACTTTAGGGACTACTTTTTAGGGACAAACCATTCTGGCCCTAGCTGAAAACCGTCCGTGGCCATCAGAGCCCCTCCGCTGGGAGCAGAATACCTCCGTAGTCTTTTAAACTCGCCTTTTAGTGAAAATACTCTGTCTAGATTCCCAAAGGCCACGGAATCTCCTCGTATTCCTGAAGCACAATGGTACGGTCCAGAGCCCGCCCTGTCTCCTCTGCGATTGGCCGTCTCTCCGAGGAGAGACGACTAACTCTCGCCCAATGGCCGCTCGCGTTTCCTCAGCGACGGCTGGGCGGTGGAAGGAGGCGGCTCGGGAGGCGCCCCCGGCGCGTTCCACGATTGGCTACGCTGCACGGCGCGCGGGGACGGCGGGCCCGAAAGGGGGCGACTACGACTCCCGGCGGCCCCACGCCGGGACTCCGTTACGCATGCGCGCGGGCGGGGCCAGCAAGCTTCTATATATAAGAGGCGCCGAGGGCTTGGAGACAGCAGTTGGAAGTTGGCAGGTGGAAAATCAGGTTGGGAGGGGAGGCCGGAGGAGGAGGCGGAAGACGAGCTGTCTGGAGGGGGAGGAGGGAGGGAGGAGAGGAGGAGGAGGCGGAGGAGAACTGAGCGGAGCATCGAGCCAGAGGGGAGATGAGTTTGTCTGTCCTCGGCTAAGGCTCCGGCCCGGCCTGGGGAACTGGGAGCTCGGGTTGGAGCGACACCCGTGGAAGTGGGAGGAGGTGGCTCCGGGACTTTAACCCCTTGTGGGCTCTGCGGCAGGGGACTTAACCCTTTGTGGATTCGGCCCCTCGGAGGCAGCGTCATCGTGTAGTTTTAACCCCTTCGGGGTTGGGTTTAACCCCTCGGACCTAATCCTCCTCTCCTTGCCCACCAACTCCTCGACCGTGGGAGCGCTCGGCGGGAGCAGTGAAGCCCACCCCTCTGCATATTACGTGCGGTGCCTGCCGCGCACCCCTTGGACCTGCTAGTTGGCCACGCTGCCTAGCGCTTAACCCTTTGTTGACTGGACTCCAAGTTGCGATTGGAGTTTGCTGACAGGACGGACGGAAGGCGTCACTGCAGAAATTGCCGGCCGAAGAGGACTTTGTTGGACATTCGTTGAGAAGAAAGAAAAGCCTTTCTCCCTAAGCCAAAATTTCCCGAACTTCCAGAGGAGGACTCCACTAAGCCATGGCCGAGCCGCTCTTGACAGAACATCAACACCAGCCTCCAACTAGCAACTGTACAGGTGCCGCTGTTGTCCGTGAGGAGAACTCCGAGCGCCCCCCAGGCTCGGGGGAACGGGTGCCCAAGGAGGACAGTAGGTGGCCACCGAGAGCGTCCCCGAAGTCGGATGGCCGTCCGGGCCAGGAGGGGGACGGGGCCCTGAAGCACCAGCGGCCCCCGCTGCAGACCAGTGCCTGTCCAGAATCAAGCTGCCTGGAAACGGGCGAGAAGGGCCAGAATGGGGAGGACTTATCCACTGGCGGTGCCTCCCCGTCGCCGGAGGGGGAACCCATGTCGGAGTCCCTCGTGCAGCCGGGTCGTGACTCAGGGGCCACCAAGTTGGAGGCTGCTGCCGCTGGAGGCGAGGAGCCGTGGGGACAGCAGCAGAGACAGCTGGGCAAGAAAAAGCATCGGAGACGCCCCTCCAAGAAGAAGCGGCACTGGAAGCCCTACTACAAGCTGACGTGGGAGGAGAAAAAGAAGTTCGACGAGAAGCAGAGCCTGCGAGCTTCGCGGGTTCGAGCCGAGATGTTCGCCAAGGGCCAGCCGGTCGCACCCTATAACACCACGCAGTTCCTCATGGATGACCACGACCAGGAGGAGCCTGATCTCAAAACTGGCCTCTACCCCAAGCGGGCAGCCGCCAAATCCGACGACACCAGCGATGAGGACTTTGTGGAGGAAGCTGGTGAGGAGGACGGAGGCAGCGATGGCATGGGCGGGGACGGCAGCGAGTTTCTGCAGCGGGACTTCTCGGAGACATACGAGCGGTACCACGCCGAGAGCCTGCAGAACATGAGCAAGCAGGAGCTTATCAAAGAGTACCTGGAGCTGGAGAAGTGCCTCTCTCGCAAGGAGGACGAAAATAATCGGCTGCGGCTGGAAAGCAAGCGGCTGGGTGGCGTCGACGCGCGAGTGCGGGAGCTAGAGCTGGAGCTGGACAGGCTGCGCGCCGAGAACCTCCAGCTGCTGACCGAGAACGAACTGCACCGGCAGCAGGAGCGAGCGCCGCTTGCCAAGTTCGGCGACTAGACTGAAAACTTTTGGGGGGAGGGGGCAAAGGGGACTTTTTACAGTGCTGGAATGTAACATTATATACATGTGTATATAAGACAGCGGACCTTTTTATGACATATAATCAGAAGAGAAAATCCCCCTGGCTTTGGTTTGGTAAATTTAGCTATGATGTTGCTTGTGTGCTTTCTCCTGTTCTTTAATTATGTGAAACTGAAGGGTTGCTTTTCTTGTTTTCCTCCTTAGACATTGTTTCTTAATGTGCAAGTAATTTGACCAAGTTATAATGCATTTTTCTGTTAAAAAAAAAAAATCCCCTCCTTAAGCGGAGCTATAAGGTGGCCAAATCTGAGAACCATTACATTCATTCTAGTTATAATAAATTTAATGTTTGTAAACGTAACAGTTTCAGTGTGATTTCTGGAGATTCAAAATTGTGCTGGTAAATTTATGTGTCTGCACTTTGAGGTCGGGTAGCATAATTGTAAAATTTACCAGTCTGCAAAAAGAAATTCAATTTGCTCCCCGCACCTCCTAGCAGTGGATCTTAGTATACCTCAGAATACAGTTCAGGTAAAATACATTCAGCTTTATCCTCAGTACTTAGGGGCACTTGCTTCCTAACACTGGAGACATTAACCAGTTGCTGGGTGTTTGGAGGAGCAGAGTGGCAACAGGAGAAGCTGAGCTTGTGTGCCTTGATGGCCATTTCAAAGTGTGCTGACAAAAGTAGAAGCCTGAGCTGGCAGTTTGTCAATAGCCAAAAGCCTTGTTTCATTTCTACAGATCAGATCCTCAGTAATCCTGGCTTCTCCTCTAGCCAGCCCACAACTCCAGCGGAGTCCCTGCGTGCCTAGGTAGTTTCTGATAAACTTGCTTAGTTCAAACAGGAGATAGCGAAGAGAAACTTGTGGGGAAACTAAGTTAAAAAATGTTAGAGACAATATTGGACTTGAAATGGCTGAGTGATCCAATGATTCAGCGTCATTGTCCAATCTTTAAGTACTTTTTCTGCCTATTAAAAAAAAAAAAAGCTGCCCTTTCCATTCAAATCAAATTGAAATTTGAAATGCCCCTTTCTACAAGTAAAAGTGGTTTGGGAGAGGGTTGAGGTCCTGAGATGGTGAATAGAGACCCTGCATGTTCCCAGTAGGGCAGCTGTCCTCAGTCTCCTGAGTTGCCTGGACAGCTGCCCGGGCTAGGTAGTTCTTGAAAATGCCAGGAGCTCGGAACTGATCCGTACCACAGAATCAAAACTGTAGATCAAACAGTTGTTCTTACTTGTCAGTATAGCTAATGCAACCCTCCTTCACCTGACCTGTGCGTAACTCGGGCAGTTGTATCGCTCACGTTTATTAGCACACTGGCTCCTTAACTTGGGGCCTTAAAAACATAGGGGCCTTGGGGGTCAACAAGCCCCATATAATTATGTGTGTGAACACACATACATATGTATGTAGAT